AGCGGGGGGGGCCTAGATCTCGGAAGTGGTCCAGAGCCTAGAGGAGGCCGACAACTCATGATTGATGCCTGGCAGAGGCTGGAGACTCGTGCCTGAGATTTAGGTGCTGCTGGCTAAACACCCAGGGTGGGAACGATGAGGGCCAGTCTGGTTGAAAACCGGGTTGAACAGGAGCAGTGGGCTGCCTAAGCTAGGAGAGGAGTGTGCAGAGAGACTGTGGCTTGGGAAGTAACTGGACAAGCCATAAACAGTCTGGAAGTGCTTCCACCGTGCAGCAGACTAAACCCAGGGCCCTGAAACAGTCCTGCTGATGTAGTGGTATCATGCAAGACTCCCATCCTTGCAGCCTGGGTGGTAGGTTTCTAGATGGGCTATGGGGCTGCAAGGCAGAGGGAGGCAGAGCTCTGAGTCTGAGGCCATCCTGGGAGTTCCGGGACAGCCAGGGCAACACGGAGAGTCCCTGCCTCCAAAAATCAAATCAAACCGACCAAGTATTGAGAAGTCTGGAATTTGGTTTCTCTAAAAAACACAGAAATATCATAAGAATGTTTTTTATTTTTGTCCCAGGCGCAGGGCTGCGGGGCTGCCTTGCAGCAGCTGATTGGCGTTTGCCTCGGGCTCTGGCAGAGGCACGGTTTCACCAGCTGCAGATTGTTTCTGTGGCTGCATGACGTTTGGAATCCTGGGAAATTTTCAGAGGGTACATAAATGCTAGAGCCCCCAAGAGGTGGGGTTGATGGTGGTTGGTCGTTCAGGGTTGTTGGTTGCAGTTTGTTAGTAGTTGTGCTGAAAGAAGAAAGTAGATTCAAGGCCCTTTATCCCTCTCTCCTCTCTCTCCTATCTAGTGCTAGAGGATGCAAACAGGGCTGGGAAAAAGAACCCACTAAGTCGCAAAGACCAGCCTCACTAGGGACTTGTGCAACATGGGTTGGCCAGTCTGTCGATGAGCTCTCCCTTCCCCCCACTTTTTATCTTGAGGCAGGGTTTCACTAGTTGTTTAAGGTGACCCTGAGGTTGCTCTGTAAGTCAGACACGCCTTTAAAAGTCATCGCTGTTACTGTGTGCGTGTGCTTCCCGAACCACGTGTGTGGAGAACACAGACTCCAAGGATCAAACTCAGGCAGTCAGGCTGACGTGGTGAGTGCTCTCTCAGCAGCCCCCAGACAGGCCTTGAACTCAGAATGATAAACCTGGCTCTCCCTTGTTGCAGGATGTTCGATCACACTGTGAACCCTGAGATTGTGTTGTTTCCTGGAAAAACCTGTTTCTAGTGGTGGCTCGCCCCCCCACACCCCTTTAATCCAGGAGCTTTCTGCTTGAATATTGTAAACAGGATTAAATAAGGTCAACCATAGGTCAGAAGGCCGGGCAGGGCTGGAGAGATGGCTCACAGGTTAAGAACGCAGGCTGTCCTTCCAAAGGTCCCGAGTTCAATTCCCAGCAACCACATGGTGGCTCACAGCCATCTAGAGTGAGATCTGGCGTGCTGATGTATGTGCAGGCAGATACTGTGTAATAAATAACCTTAAAAAAAAATCTGGCAGAACAAACAACCAGTTAACAGGGAGTGAACATGGGGAGAAAACCACAGCGAGTGAGAAAGAGTCAGGAGGACGGATAGAGAGATGACAGGAAGTAGAAGGGAGGGGCATTCAGTTTGAGAGCTTTTGGAGATACTGTGGCGAAAGAGCCTTCTTTTGGGGACACTGGCTGAGGAGGAAGGTCAGCTGGGTGCTTTCCCTGCCTCTCTGAGCTAGCAGGTTTCCACCCCAGGATCTGGCTCCTAAGCCTTCGATTGGGATTTTGTTAAAAAAACAACACTCTCCCTCACCCCTGCCGCCCCAGTGTGCTAGGACTAAAGGCTTGCACCAGGCCAGGCAGGCCTTAAACTCATGATCCGCTTTCCTCAGAGGACTACAGGCCCACACCGGAACTACAGACCCAGCCTCTGAGTCCTTTTATTTCTCTCTCCACCTCTTTGGCTGCTGTAGCCAGGTGGCAGAGCACCTGCCTAGCGTTCCTGAGGCCTTGGGTTTCCTACCCAATATAGAAAGAGACGGCCAGGCGGAACTCCTCAGGTCAAGCTATGGTCCCTTCTGTGCAGTGGCTCTGTGGCCAGCTTTTTAGCTTTTGTCGTTGTCCTGGCCATCTAGAACTCACTCTGAAAATGAGGCTGCCCTGAACTCACAGAGATCCCCCTGCCTCCTGAGTACTGGGACCCAAGGTGTGCACTACCACACCCAGCCAGGCCCCTGACTGTAGGGCAGAGGAGTCTTCTGGGGAGGCTGTTGCAATACCAGCTTGAGGCAATGCTTCTGGCAAGGGCCGGTGAAGGGCTAGAGTGGGGCATACTGTCTGTGCTCCACAGCACATCTTGATACAGCGGGCACAAGATGGGTAAGGAGGTGTGGCTGGGGTGCCATCGGTGGGGTTAAGGAAGCATGGTGGAACAGGGTTTCACCGAGTCGACTTGGGACGAAATGGATGAGGATGCCTCGTGGCACGGTCCCTGTCTGTGAGAGAGCACAGCTGGCTTCTGGAGGAAGGTGAGGTGGTTGTGTTGGAAAGGGCTTGAGTCAGAGGCTTGCCGTGGTTGACATGCAGCTCGTGGGAAAGGGTTTGCTTAGCACACCAGGAGCTGGGTTAATTCCCAGAACTAAAAAGAATAAATAAACCAGAAAGGTGCAATAGTGCATGCTTATAATCCCAGCACTCTGGAGGCAAAGGCAAGCGGTGAGTTCAAGGCCAGCCTGGTCTGCAAAGCTGAGTTCAAGGTCAACTAGGGCTCCACAGAGAAACCCTGTGTCAAAACAAAAACACACAAACCAAGACCAAACCAACTTCCCCCACAACCAACCAACCAAAAACACAAAACAAAACAAATCCCAAAAGCCAAAACAACAACAGAAAAAGAATAAACAGAATTCCTAGCTTGGTAGTAGAGCTAGGCCTGTAATCCTGGAACTTTGGGGGGTGGCCGCCGAAGGTGGAGACAGCATGATCGAAAGTTTGGAGGGGCCCTGTGGCCTCTGTCTCGCAGATAGCTAGATGGATGGCGATGGCTGTGTTAAGTGAATGAGATTTCATTTCTTCCTTCTTTCCTTCCTTCCTTCCTTCCTTCCTTCCTTCCTTCCTTCCTTCCTTCCTCTCTCTCTCTCTCTCTCTCTCTCTCTCTCTTCTCTCTTTCTTTCTTTCTCGAGTCTATACACCAGGCTGGCCTCAAATGCAGAGATCCTCCTGGCTCTGGCTAGAATTAAAGGTGAGTGCCACCACCAAGCAGTAGTTGAGATTTCAAAGGAAAGCCTTGGAAAACAAGAATGAAATCTAGAGACAGGCAGCTGGGGAAGTGGAGAAAGGAAGAATTACCAAGGTGTGCTTGTGGAGGAGACAGCACATCCCTGAGCCGGGAGGTGTAGAGACAGGTGTGCCTCAGGCAAGGTGACACACAGCTGTCATCCAGGCCCTGGGGAGGCTGAAGCAGTACTTCAGAAGTTCAAGGTCATCTTCAGGTACACAGTGAGTTTAACTGGGCTGTAGGAGACACTGTCTCAAGTATTTAAAGGAGTAAATGAATAATGGGTGGGAGAGGGTGGGCAGGCAGAGCAGACAGACACAAAAGGGCTGGGACAAGCGAACATTTTAAAAACATCACTAATTTTCTGCAATGTAATCACTGGCTATTTGAGATTCTAGCAGTGCCAGGAACGGAAGTGCATTTCAGGGAGACAGGAAAGAGCGGGTTTGAAAAAGACAGTCACACACAGACAATTGTCATAGCAGTACTTTCCAACTCAGGAGGAAAGCTGGTCAGGGGACAAGGAAAGCGAGGCTGCCTGTGGCACCCTTCAGAAGCACTGGCGGAGAGGCGGCTCCGCGGTCATGATCTTGCTGCTCCTTCTGAGGACCTGGGTTCAGGACCCAGCACCCACAGCGGATGGTTCAGGGCCACCTGTAACTCCAGCTGCAGTGTATCCACAGGCCTCTGTGGGCTTTGTACACACACACCCACAAGAACAGACATATAACTAGCACACATAAATAAAAATAAAATAAATCTCTAAGAAAAACAACTATTGCTAGCAAAGGCACCTTAGGCCTGAAATGTCCCAAGGGGAACCTGTGATATACGCCACCCCCCCCACCCCCCCGCCTCAGTGCAGGGTTTTCTGTCTGGATTTGGGGTCACGGCCTGGCCTGTGAGTGTCCCTAGCCACCCTGTGCATCATGGCCACGTATGAACGGACAAAGCGGAGTGACATCCTGCTCTGTGTGTGTGCAGTGAGGCGAGCGGCTCTGCCTGATCCCTGCTCACAGAGGCCTCTTTGCTGGCCCAGGGTCAGCCAGGGCAAGACCACAGGTGCCCACAGGTGCTGCTGCCAGCCGTCCACCCGGGTTCCCTCTGCTCTCTGCTCCTCTCCTGAGCTTGTCCAGGCCCAGGCCAGCAACGCTGTGGGCAGGTGGAGCTCCTCCCCTGCCCCTGTCACCCATCCTTGATCAGCTTCCTGACTGTGCTCTGCCATCTTCTTCCTTCTTGCCTCCCCAAGACGCCCTTCCCCGGAGCCCTAAGCCCAGCCTAGGAGAAGCGGGTTTGGAGGCCCACTGAGAATGAATGAGGCTGGGGTCGGGAACCCCACTGAGAATTCCACTCAGGTCTTCTCCATCTAGTCCCTTCTCTCGCTTTCCAGACAGGGTTTAGTGTGGTCCACACTGCCTTCTAACTCGCTGTAAAGCAGCGTGTGGCTTTGAACTCCTGACTCTCCTCCCAGGTGCTGGAGCTACAGAACTACAACAAGTCTGGCTTGGGGAGCGGAACGGGGAACCCACGACCCTCTTTTCTCTGCTGGCATGGGAAACTATCTCCTCCCGATTCTGTCTCTGCTGGTGGCACTCCCTTCTTCCTCCCAGAGGAGTTAAAAAAGAAAAAAACAAACCATAAAATGAAGGGCGCGGAACGCCGGGGTGTTCTCTGAGCTGTGGACCTTGGAACTGCGGGTGATAAATCCACTAAAATGTCTTTAATACCGTCTTTCGGAAGTTCACACACACGCACACACAGATCAAAACAAGTCTAGGGCAGAAGGGAGCGGGGGTGGGGGAGCGCTGGCTCCCTCCTGTATCCGGATTCCCTTTTGCCTCCCTGCCCAGGGCTTGGCACAGGTGGAAAGGGTATTTACATTGCAGGGACTTGGTTCTCTTTCCAGGGCGAGGGGTACTAAACCAGGAACTTCCCATATTTCACTCCAAAGGCAACACGACGGGAAGTTCTGTAATTAGCAAGAAAATAGGCAGAGACCCGGGTGGAGAACGAGAAAAATCCGCAACTGGCAAAAATCCGAGCCAGAGCTGGGGTGTAGTTCTTCTGGGGGTGGGGGGAGTCCGTTTTGGGAGGGTAGGAGGAGGAGTCCGTCCGTCTGTGGGCTGGGCCTGGATCCCCAAACCCAATCACCCCGCGAGGAAGAGAAGAAGGCGGAGCCTGCCGACCTGGAGGCGGGGTTCTGAGGGAGTTGGGCGGAGCCCGTAGAGGAGGCGGAGTTTGGGGAACAATCCCCGCGGGGAAGCCGCGGGCAGGAGAGCTCCTCCCCTGGCGCTGCACTGGGGTGGGGTGGGGAACTGGGGCGACCGGAGACGCGGGGCTTGGCTCGGGTTGCAGTGCCGCTGGGGATGTGGGCTTGGAGGGGTTCCTGAGGGACTGAGCGTACTCGCTGGGCCAGACGTCCCGCGGGGCGGGGCGTGGATGTCTGGGAGTCCTGCGGCGCCTCAGGAGGAGGCGCGGGGCGCCTGGGAGGTTGGGGAGCACGTCGTGGGGCCGACACGGGGAGGCTGCCTTTTTAGGGATCCCAGTAGTTTTCGTGGTGCTGAGCGGCGATGATTATGACTACAGTGAGGATGGTGCAGAGCACCATGGCCGCGATGCCCACGGCCAGAGAGATGAAGGAGAAATTCCGGGCCTCCCGGGAGGCGATCTCAGCGGACACCATGTCTCCTCGGGCCAGGGCCGTGCGCACCTACCCGGGAGGGGCGGGGCGGGGTCAGAAAGCCACTGCGCGCCCACCCGCCCCAGCCTGCGCCCAGCATGCCCCGGGTTTTGGAACCCCGCTCAGCCCAAGCTTCCCCTTCCCGCCCCACACCTGCACGGCCTTGAAGATGGCGATGATGCCGGTGGGCCAGAAGCAGCAGATAGTGGTCAGCACAGCGATGGGCATGTAGTCGTGCGGCGGGCGCCTGGGCTCCAACAGAGCCAGTCCTGGACCCTGCGGCGGCGGGGGCAGAGTGGACGTCACTCCGGGACCCGCGGGGGGCCCGCCTGCGTAGGGCTGTGGGAAGGACAGTGGGGGAAAGGGCCGTTACGCCTACACGCCTGCTGCTTGCCAGCGGTTGACCAGTTGCCAGAGAGGTTTTAAGAACATGATTCTAAGGTTTACGGGGAGGAAAGTCAACGCACTGAGCTTTCCTGACAGTGAAATCGGCCTAGCGCCCCCTCACTGTGTCATTAACCCCATATTCCTGTAAATTCCCACACTGTCTTACAAGGTTTGGCTTATGGGTCTGCTCTGCCCTTCTGTTCTTGTTTCCATCCCCCTTGGCACTCCCCCGGCCCAGGCTTCTGCCCTGCTCTAACCCTGGCTTCCCAGGTTCCGTTCCTTCCTCTCCCTCCAGGAGGTTTCCTTCTTTCAGACCTCCTCTTGACTTCTGAACCGCCTCCCAAGCCTTGACCTTTGACCCCACAGGCACCCTCCCCCAACCAGGTCCACCACCTTCCCACCCCCAGCCCCTTCCCTCTCCCCTCTTCTGCCCAGGGCTTGTTACCCGGTCGGCCTGGCTCTGTTTCTCTCTGCCAGCTTCCCGTTTGTCCCCGTTGCATCTGCCTCCCCGGGCTCCTAGGTCCTGCCAACCCCCGTACCACACTCACCGTGCCCACCGGATACACCGGAACATAAGCAGTGCAGGGCTGCAGCTGCAGCGGGTAGCCCGGCGCCACGTAGCCCCCCAGCGGCAACGTGCCCACCGCCCCCGCGTGCGTGGGCACCACGAAGCCCGGCGCTTGGGCCGTCGGGGCTGGCGCTGGCGGGGGTGGGGCGGCGGCCGCAGGCGGGGGCGGGGGAAGTGGGCCCTCGAAGCGAGTCTCCTGCAGATAAGGGTCGGGGGGCATGCGGGGTAAGGTAGCACAGCCGGGCGGTGGACCCCCGGCGGCGGGGCCGGGCGGGGCGTGGTGAGGGGGCCGCGGGAGCGTGGCGGAGGACGAGGCCCCGCGCTGCGCGCTGGCCGCGGCGGAGGCCAGGCCCCCGGCCCCCAAGCGCGGGAGGGTGGCCGTGCCGGACTGGTGGTGGTGGTGGTGGTGGTGGTGGTGTGAGGGGGGCGCCGTCTGTGGGGGCGGGAGGGGGGGCTCGGCCGGAGGCTGGGGGGCGTTGTAGGGCGGCGGGGACGTGTGAGGAACGGAGTCTGGAAGGCCTGGTCATGGAAAAGCCGAGGAGCGGATGAGGGGAGAGAGAAGACAGCAGAGTTCAGAAGGTTAAGAGTCAGCGGACGGCTGAGAGGTGGAGAAACAGCGAGGGAGAGACAGGACATCTCCCATTTTGGGGTCAGGGAAGGGGGTGCACCTAGGCCACCTGCCCCCAGTCTAGTTTTGCCTCACAACTCTTCCCCAGCTGTCAGCCCCCCCCCCCCCGCCCGGGCCCCCCCCCCCCCCCCCCCGCAGCTCCTCGTCCTGCGCAAGTGGCCCTGTGTCACTTTCTTGCAGTGGAGTTCCCTGCGAACCTCATGGCCTCTGTTAAGGTCCATGAAACAGTCTTGTGGGACCAGGCATGGCGGCTCCCGCCTGTAATCCTAATCTGATCAAGTCTCCGTTATTCTCCCCGTGGGTGTCTCCATCCAGTGAATCAGTGATTGTCCGTCTGTCGCTCCCAGTGATGATGTCCTGATGTCCCTGCAGTACCTGGCTGGGCCTCCCCCCCCCCCCCCCCCCCCCCCCCCCCCCCCCCCGGGCCCCCCGGGGGGGCCCCCCCCCCCCCCCCCCGCCGCCCATGTTGTTGACAAGGCACAGAGGCAGACTGACCCGAAGACAGGAAAAGAAGGATGGGATGTGGAAAGAGGAGGGGGTAGGGAGTATGAATGGAGAGAGAGGGTCAAAGAAGGGGATTAGGGCAAGTGGGGGGTTAGACTGGAGGTGATGGAGGCGGCTGGAGGGGAGGTTTTTACTGGTATTTTTTTTTTTTTTTAATTTTTACCTGACTTTTCCGAGGACATGTCTGCAATCGCTGGGACAGGGTCTCAGAAGCTGGAGTCAGGGCCCCCTGGCTGCTGGCGCAGGAGTCTGGGTCCGGGATGGCGCAGCCGGCGGCGGCGGCGATGGTGGCGGCAGCAGCGCAGAGATGGAGAGATGAAGACAGTGGGGGGGGGGGGGGAGGGGGGGGGGGGGGGGGGGGGGGGCTAAAGGGGCCGGGGGGGGGGGGGGGGAGCGCTTCGGAAGTCTCCCCCACTCCGTCTCTCTCTGCTCTGGACCACCTCTCTCCTCCTCTCACCCCAGCATCCAAGCCCCCAGTTTAGGCTCCCTTGGAGTTGTCATGGAAACTGGAGGCAAGACCAGGCAAGGCGGGTGGGACTAAGAGAGGGAAGGAGGGAGAGAGAACTCTCCAGAGCCTCTCCCGCAAAGACTTGCTGTAGTGGTTATATTGTGGGAGGAAGCCAGCTCAGTGGATTTACCACACTTATCTCCGGACCTCGGTCCCCCGACCCTGCTCACCTAAGGGGCTCTTTCCTCAGTTTCCCTCAGAACTTCCTGCAAGCTAGCTCTAGGACAGAAGCAGGTGTGAGAGAGAACTGTACCAGCTAGGATCCGAGGGTCTCAGGAGGCCCTCAGGTATAGTGGGGGCCTGCTCTCCTGACAGTTAAGGGGGGAAGCTCAGAGCTGTCCTCTGAAGATGGCTGAGGAACTGGAGAGAAAGCACAGGCACCTTCTTTCTCCAGGGTTAAGAGGCTGAAATGCTTTAGCAGAGGGGAGCAAGATGGACTTGCTTATTTTTGATAGGCAGGTTTGGAAAGGCATGCTTTGGCGGGGCTGAATTCTTGGGCCTGTCAGCGTTCATGTCCATTTCTTACAGTGGCCCCTGTCCTCCCCGCCGCCTGCCCCAAGAGACAGATCCCCTCGGATGTCAACCCGAGGCACAGCGGTGACTTCAGGTCTTTTTATTTTGCTTTTTGCTCCGTGGAGGGCGTGGGTGGGGAGGTGGGGTGAGGATGATCTACAGAAGGTCTTTCCCCTTTAGCATTTCCCGACCCTCCCCTGAGGCAGTAGCCTTAGGACAAGGCCCTCCAGTGGCATCCTGGAGAGCAGTTCCCACGGCTTGAGCCTTCCCAGGTCTGAGAACATTTCACACCGCAGTCCCACACCACACCGGTGCTTCCGGTTTTTCAAGCGTGGATGGATCAGGCAGAATCCCGAAAGCATCCCTCCCACACCACCTTCACCACACGCTTCTGGTTTTATTGAGACATGAGTTTAGACTGCGCGAAGACCGGCTGAAGCATGCTCAGAAATCCTGGAAACTTATTTAACTGCTAAGTCAGAGCCTTTCGAGATACAGGCCATCCCCGGACACTCAGGCGTGCGCAGGAGTCACGGGTAGGCCGAGCAGGTGCCAGCGCTGAAGTCTGGCTGCCGTCTGGCTCCCGAGGCAGGATCTGTGTCGCCGCAGATTGTCGGGGTCGCTTAGGGTTGAAAGACTGGTGGAATTGCTGTGGTGAGTCCTTGCCCCGCCCGGGGCCCACACCCATGTAAGGTGGGTCATGAACGCGGAGATAAAAGTAGGGCCAGAGAAAGTGGGTCAGGCTGCACTTCACTCGAGAGGCCTGGAGGACTCTCGCGTCTCCGGAGACAAGGGCGCAACACGCACTTCAAAGTGAAGAGTTGTAAGGCGCTGATCCGGAGCGGGAGGGCAGGCGGGAGCGGGCAGGGGGGCGCCCCGGCCGCCTTCGGCCCAGCACGCTGACCTGCGGCAAGCCTGGTCCGGCTAGACCTGGCGATCGGCTAGACCTGGCGTCCGGCTGTCCTGACCTCCCCGCTCGCACCTTCTCTTGGGACCAGAAATTCGGGCTCTGCCGAGGAGCCAGACAGCCCGGGCTGGGAAGTGGGGCGCAGCAAGGAGGGGAAGTTGGACCCCTGACGGGCCGGACGCTGCTGAGCCCGCGAAAGCCTTCTTTAGATACCCAGGACTACTTTCTCTACGGTTGCAGCTCCCCACCCGCCTCAATGGACCGCTCCGCCTCTTTCCTCCCCAGCTCCTTGGGTGCAATGGAACGTTCCATTGCCTCCCCGGTCCGCGGGCCGCGTTGCAGGGGACGCTCGCCCTGTTGCCAGGGAAAGCCCCGGACGTGACGGCTTTGCGCGACCCCGAGCAGCCCTCCCCACTCCCCTCCGTCGTTCCACTGCGCGCTCTCCTGGTCCCGTTTCCCCTCCCACCCCGTGGACTTCAGACTGGGTAGAAGTAAACAGCTGGAGGAGCGAAGCCTCCAGACCCAGGCCAGGTGGGAGTTTCCACTCTCCGTGGGGCCTGGGCTGCTGCTGTGGGGCCTTTGCAGAGCCCAGAGTTGCATGGCCGAGGTGATGCTTAAGGAAGATCCTGGGCCTAGGGGACCAAGTCCCGTGAGCGTCAAGTTGGGGCGGGACTTAGGGTGAGCATTGGTGTCTTAGGGGGTGTGTTTGTGCCGAGCGAACCCGAGTAAGTAAAAGCGGGCCGTAAGGCTCGGGTAGGAGCCGAGGCCGGAGGGCGGCTCGCCGTGAGCCCGTTTGCTTTCCTTCACAGCTCCTCGTTCCTTCTCAGGTGGGAGCATGCCGGGGCTGCGGAGGCACAGGCTTCCTTCCGCGTGGACTTTGCTCCTCCTGCCGTTCCTGTGGCTGCTCATGCCCGCAGCCCCCGCACCCCACCGCGGGTCCTACAAGCCCGTGATCGTGGTGCACGGGCTGTTTGACAGTTCCTACAGCTTCCGCCACCTGCTGGACTATATCAATGAGGTCTGTCAGGGGACACCGGCCGCGGGGTGTTGGAACAGCTACACTGGCTGGGGGAGGAAGCGCGGGGCGGGGCAGCTGAGACAGCCCCTCCAGGCCAGGCGTTAAGGGGAGAGCTGGGGGCAGGGGCTCCTTCCAGCAAGCAAGCGCAGCAAACGCACGTGCCTCCGCCGCCCAACCCCAGTGGCTGCATTGCCCCCTTCCCACAGACGCACCCCGGGACTGTGGTGACGGTGCTTGATCTCTTCGATGGCAGAGAGAGCTTGCGGCCGCTGTGGGAGCAGGTGCAAGGCTTCCGAGAGGCTGTGGTCCCCATCATGGAAAAGGCCCCCGAAGGGGTGCACCTCCTCTGCTACTCCCAGGGTAGGCAACACCCTCCTAACCCCCAAACCCTGTCTGCTGCAAAGACACTTGAGCGTTGCTCTGCTCAGAGCCCCAGCGAATGAGCGCTGGTGTTTGATCCTATCCGCTCTTGTCTTCCTCCTGCGGGGCCTGGATGGGAGGGAGGCGTCCTTCCGTACCATTGCCCATGGTTCTCTTGGATTTGGGGATTTAGAGAACAGCTAAATGCATATTCCTTTGGTCAGAGGCCTAGAGGCTCTTAGCATGCTTCTATCACATATGTGACCTGTTGGCACAGAGTGTGTCTGAGGCCTTGGATTCCAGTCTTGGATTCACTATTCTGAGAGACAGGAACAAGGGTCACTCCAGTGCCTGTCCTCTCCCTCTTTCTCTCTCTCTGTTTTCCAAGACAGAGTTTCTCTGTGTAGCCTTGGCTGTCCCGCACTCTCTTTGTAGACCTGCCTGGCCTGGAGACTCACAAAGCTCTGCCTGCCTCTGCCCGCAGGGGGCCTGGTGTGCCGAGCTTTGTTGTCTGTCATGGATGACCACAACGTGGATTCTTTCATCTCTCTCTCCTCCCCACAGATGGGGCAGTATGGAGGTGAGTGGGCGCTGTGGGTTCCGTGGAAGGCAGGCTGCCCGGGGCTCAGGGGCTGAGGGGCTGAGGCCGCCTTGGCACACCTTTTCTTCTCAGACACAGACTATTTGAAATGGCTGTTCCCTACTTCGATGCGGTCTAACCTTTATCGGGTCTGCTACAGTCCTTGGGGCCAGGAATTTTCCATCTGCAACTACTGGCACGGTGAGTTGGGGGGCACTGCCCTGGGGCCTCCCGTGGACAGGGCGCTGTGGGGGCGGGGCCTGCTGCTCCCACCTCTGCCATAACCAAAGTAACAGCTTCCATCCACCCGGTTGCCTCAGAGAGTGTAGTCTCATGCAGAAATTTCTGTAAGAATAACTAGTGGATTATCATTATTGCTTGCTTGCATAAGCACGTATGTGCAGGTCAGAGGACAACTTTCAGGAGTCCGTTGTCTCCGCCATAGTGGGTCATAGGCCGTGTGAGTGAGGGACACATGTCCCGATAAAGCATTATTTACAGAAGCAGGTAACAGGCTGGATTTGGTCCTTTAGGGTCCAACCTCTGCTACAGTGCAGTGTGACCGTGGATGCCAGGGCCGGATTAGGGGTTGAAGCCTGACGCTGCTGAGTGACCTTGGGCACCTTTCTTAGCTCTCTGAGACTCAGTCTCCTTCTCCAGAGTAATGCAGCATACACCTCGTGAAGGCGCTGTAATGATTAAAGCAATGAGAGTAACGGACTTTTAATCGCTGACTCATAGAGGGAAGCAGATAAAGTGCCTCCTGGGGTCACGGATGGGCACGAATTTCACCCCAGCACTTTGGTTTGAAGCCAGCCTGTGTTGTAGAGGAGTTCCACGGCAGGCAGGACTAAACAGACCATGTCTCAAAAATCAAACAGAGCAAAACAAACTCCAAAACTGTGTCCCAGCTTGTGGCAGTTGTTCTCCTGTTGTGTGGTTGGATAGCTAGCTTTGCTTTTAGATTTGTGTATGCATTTTATGTACCCGGGCGTGTCTGCATGTCCACCTGCACACCAGAAGAGGGCGGCAGACAGTTGGGCCGTGGGCGCTGGGACCTGAACTCAGGACCTTCAGAAGAGCAGTGATTGCCCTTTTTAAGATTTACTTGTTTTTACCTACATACATGAGTGCTCTGTCTGCATGTGCAGGTCAGAAGAAGTCACCAGATCCCAGCTTAGACAGAAGGTTGTGAGCCACCATGTGGTTGCTGGGAATTGAACTCTGGAAGAACGGTCAGAGCTCTTAACCACTGAGCCGTCTCTCCAGCCCCAGTCTTTACTATTACTGTTGTCTCCTGACTGACCCTGCTGCCTCTAGTCTGCTCTCCCAGTGTGTTTTCCCCTTTCTTTCTTTCTTTTAATTTTTAA